CTGTCTCCTGTCATCAGCTTGGAATTAAACTTTTTTTCATTGCAACTTATGTATGACTTTAGCCAATCATCTGATTTTCTCTTAAATTTATTGATAGTATACTGAATTACAGTTTTAATATTTGTGGTGCAACTATTGTACAGCCTAGAACCATTAATTACCAAGGTCTGATTTTGCATTTTCTCATAAAGAAGGTTTAGATTGTCTTTTTAGTCTTCCTGACAACTAAGACCTACTATTTTATGCAACTGTTGAGTGAAAACTCATTAAATCTGTTTAAGTCTTGTTATATCATTTGTGTAACTTAGATTATATACTTGAAATTAATGTGCCAGTCTTGATGTTACTAGTTTTTCATAGTAGGAGGATATGGCCTAGATCTTTTGTCTTTAAAGTTCTCGCCATCTACTCATACGTTACCCTTTGTTGACTTCCTGCTCTTTATAGTAGCTACAGCACATGACATACGACATAAATACTCTGAAGTCTTTAGTAGCTTTTTCCTTTAATCCCTGATCCTTCAGCCAAATATGATATTGGTTGTAGATTTCAAATTGGATTTGATTATATAACTTACAATATATCAGCATTTTTGTTTTTACATGCCAGATTGAAGCTTGTCCTTTCTATCTCTTTAACTCATTTGATTTAGATGCTTCACTGCCATCAAGTGGTCCAAAATACGAGCAGTAGACCCACTTGAGCAGCCACTCTGTGGGGTGTATGGCTTGTAGGTTAGGTGCATACAATCACTTTTGTACGGTGACAAGATTCCATGACTCCCCTTTGCAATGTGATTTTCTCTTTTTCTATGTTAGTATTTTTTAACTTATTTATAATTTTCCAATGCCAGTATTTGTCATTTGATTTGCATTTTGCAGATGGTAATAGACTGTTTTCCTTGCAGACTCCATATAATTTCTCTAGGTAGTCCAAAATTCAGCAGAATGATAATGATAATAAGTAAGATTTTGTTACTTGTGTAATAAAAAAAAAATCATAAAATTCAATTTTCTGTAATACAACTTGCATCACCAGTCATGGTGGGCAGGATTAAGATACTGAGCATGAAAATAGTGTCCTCCCTGGAGTTGGCGCTCTTCCAGTCATAGCTTACCAATGGTACATTTCACGCTTGTTTATGAGTGGAAATATTCCAAAAACCCCTTCCTAAATGCTCACTCAGTTAAATCACCCTCCAAGAGCTTTGTGCATTTATGGTGAGTCATTTCCATCACCCTGGCCTTCAGCCAAAATTTCATGACAGCAAGTTCGTGTCACCTCAGCCCTTGATGTGAAAGTCACGTCATCCAGATCATATGGGTTGATGTTATTGGTACACATGTATTTACTGATATTTAAAACCTTTAGAAATGCCCCAAGTCATAATTAGGATTATTTCATTTCAAACATTTCAATCATTACAGTAGAGTTCCTCTTCAGACAAAAAACGAACTGGATTATTTTCAGTTTTTGTCTGAAGAGGAACTCGTGAAGAGTTCGAAACATCACGTTTATTTTCATTTCTCATTGTGGCTAGTTTCATTTTCATTTATATACATACATACATATACATACATACACATACATATACATATACATACATACACATATACATATATACATATATATATACATACATATATAGATAGATATAGATAGAGAGATAGATAGATACATATATATATATATATATATATATATATATGATATATATATATATATATATATATATATATATATATGTATATATATATATATATATATATATATATATATATATATATATATATATATATATATATATATATATATACACATACATATATATGTAAATATTTCTGTAGATACATACATAGATATCTGAGAAAGTGATCATTTAAATATTAGATTATCTTTAATGTGTTTCAGGTAATAAAAACCTTCATACCAGAGATGTTGCCTGAAGCTGGACCAAATACCCATTGAAGGATGTAACTGAAGAAAATAATGAAGATTTGTTTTTATTGTAATTGATGATAATACGTCCTATGTTGTGAAGAGGGACTAAATTTTCTGTGAAAAAAATGTCAGAGATTCCAGTTAGCAGGAAGCCTAAGAATCATGAGTGTTCCTTCTGCAAAAAGAAATTTTTATACATAACAGAAATGAAAAGGCACTATCGATCTCACACTAAGGAGAAACCATTTGTTTGCAAAGAGTGTGGTAAGGCTTTTTCACTTGTTAGTAATCTTAGCAGGCATAAAGGAGTTCATAGTGGCTTGAAGCCCTTTGAATGTGCAGAGTGCTCGAAGAGATTTTCAGAGAAAGGATCCCTCAAAAAACATATAGCTATCCATACTGGTGAAGAACCCTACAAATGTGCAATATGTGAAAAAAAGTTCACTCAGAAGGCACACTACAGTGCGCATATGTATCAGCATACAGATGAGACACCAGTTCAATGCTCTATTTGCCCTAAAAGGTTCAAAAATCAAATTAGATTATCCATTCACTTGAG